CATTGTTAGTTTCATGAATACATGTAACGAAATGCAGAATCCAGGAGCAATATAAAGTGATTTTGTTTTATGTCATAAAAAGCAGTGGATGTTATTTCCAGTGGCACATCCTGTATAGATCTGCTATTCTCAATGGTTATATTAGTCTTTTTGGGTGCTCATGTGAAAGCTACTTAAAGACACTTTATTCTGAATCCATTTGAACACTTTTTATACCTGAGATTTTTAATCATTTGAACACTTTTTATACCTGAGATTTTTAATCATTTGAACACTTGTTATACCTGAGATTTTTAATCATTTGAAAAAATTTTATACCTGAGATTTCAATAGTTTTAACAATAGTTCAATATTTCAATATTTCAATAGTAATGATGGTACAAATGCATATGTTACTATGTTTGATACTCTTTTTTTCCCCTCCAAAGGCCAGGAAAGAGGCCTAAAGAATATATTTAAAGAATCTATATTCTTATAAATTGATTTAGCATTGTACAGAAACAGGTTAAAGAAATTTAAAATATATATGAAATACAGATGCATACCAGCTTTTTAAGAGATTTATAAAATATAATATGTGACTGAGGAGCTGTTAGTGAAATAACATGTTTATCCAGTAGGTGGCGGTCCAGCAGATTTATCTGTATCAGCAGACACACAGGACTGACAAAAATATTGATATTAACACAAACATAACACAAAAACACTGCTCAAAAGCCATAATTTATAATCCATTAATATCACATTTTTAACTGGGATAATGTTATAATGTTTGACCTTGTTTTATTATCTCATTAATGTTCATAAACTCCCAGAAACTTTAAATGTAACAAATAGAAGTACATTTGAAACAACAGTGATACTTAGACAGTCACAGGGGCAGATCATCATTAATTCAGCGCCTTCTTTAGCCAGGTGATTTTATTTATTTTGATTTATTTATTTATTTTGATTTTTTGTATATGCAGGAACATAGGCCTACTGGCCATCAGGAGCACACTCCCAGCAGGTCGGTTGAGTAAAGAACTGATCGGTGAAACAAGAGAGATTTTTTATCCACCTAATTTTTAACATAAGAGCAGTGTGGCCATTGTAGCTTGAATGTGTGAGGCTTCTGAACCTCATCTGCTTCCAGTTATTTTAGCTGTACAGAAACTGTCCACTGTGATGCTTGATACTGCAAACTGTTATTTGTTATATTATTTTCATTCATTATCTTTATCATAAGCATATGGAGCTCATAAAGAGACATGGTGATGAAATATGATATATATATATATATATCAGTCAAACGTAGTTTAATATTTTTTTAAAGGGGTCATATGATGCGATTTCAAGTTTTCCTTTCTCTTTGGACTGTTACAAGCTGATTGTGATAGCCGCGGGAACGTATTTTGTCCAGGGGGGCTGAGAAATAAAACTTGTGGAGGGTGGCACGTGACAAGAGTGATGCGAGAAGACACACTATATGATAGCGGATCCAAAAGAGTTACTTTTAATAAAACGTTAATTTCTTCGTTTAATAGCCTATAAGTGAGTGTCTTTATTGTTGTTGGGTTTCCATTAAAAATAAAGAAATTAAATAAAAAATAACAATGAACCACAAACTAAGCATTCGTTTTAAATAAGGGAAAATACCATATTTATTTGGGTTACAACGCAAGGCTAGATCTTATTAATTTTGTTAATAAAAGTTAGATGTTTAATATATACGAATTTGCCATTGTACTATTTTACGGCTTTATGGATTACATAATGAAAGATTTTTTGTTTTCGATTTAAATTATTTCGTTTTAAAATAGTATTGTAAAGCATTGTATAGATATATTTATCATGTCGGTAAGGCAAGTATTCACTGAGTTTCAGTTCATCATTGTGAGGCGCTCCTGCTCAAGACAGAGACGACAGAAAGCGCATCAGAAAGCATTTGTATTTCTTGTTTTTCAAAAGCACAAGGTTTTGTTGATATTGTGAGTGCACACAAATAAAAGTAGACTTTGCAGTTCCGAATGAGGTATACTCTTACCTTTATGAGCAAAAATGATGGCATATTCGTAAGATTCCACTGTTATTAAAAAAAAAAAGCAAGTGATGGCACTGGCGCCTCCATGTCCTGCAGAGCGTGCTTTAGCTTCCACTCTCCACACAAACGATTGGATATGCGCCTAACAGCGCACATTTATCTAGGTTAAATGTTTAAATTAATACTGTGAAATGCACAAAGTGCTTTATGTCTATAGATTTTATTTTAAGCAAGTCGTGGTGTTGATCTGAGAAGGCTAAATTGATCAAACATAATGCTCAACTCACAGTCAGCCGCTGGCCGCTTGGTCGTTCCTTTAAAAAAAATAAAAACCTGAATTTAACAAACATAAAATGTTCCAAACATATTTCTAAATTAACTTAATAAAGGAATGAAACGAAATATTACCACTTTGCCATTATAAACCGAAACTGAACTATTTTAATGGCTGCAACAGCCGCTGTGTAATGGGGGAGAGAGAGAGAGAGAGAGAGAGAGAGAGAGAGAGAGAGCAAGTCGTCCTGTTGATTTGAGAAGGCTAAATTGCTCAAACATATGCTCAACTCACTGTCAGCCGCTGGTCACTTGGTCGTTCCTTTAAAAAATAAAAACCTGAATTTAACAAAAATAAAATGTTCCAAACATATTTCTAAATTAACTTAATAAAGGAACGAAATGAACTATTACCACTTTGACATTATAAACCGAAACTGAACTATTTTAATGGCTGCAACAGCAGCTGTGTAATGGGGAAGAGAGAGAGACAGAGAGAGAGAGCGAGAAGACACAGGCTCCAGTCGGACTTGGGCTGAGAATTCTGATAAGCTGTCGGTCAAGGGCAATTCAGAGAAATTGCAGGAAAATTAATTTCCTCGTTTAAATTAAAAGTTCCCCTCAGCTCAGCGGGCCCCCAATCTGCCCGGGCCCATATGTACCTGCATACCTAGAAGCTACGCCACTGAATATAATTTAAAAAAACATGGCAACAAATGCTTTTTTAAAGTCAGTTTAAGAAGTTTAATAAGCTGAAACGACTTTCTCAGTCAATTTGATTCAACTTGACTCATGTTTAACCTTTGCTTCTTGTCATTGTAGGCTTAGGCTACTTTTTTCAATGCATTTTAATGGATATACAAATTAATAAAATGAATTGTATTTATTTTTTATTACATATTGCTCATTCATTTATTTTTATTTTGATCAATTTAAAGCATCCTTGCTAAATAAAAGTAATAATTTATATAACCCCCTCCCCCCAAAAAAAAACATTATACTGACTCCAAGCTTTTGAATGGTATAGTGTAATGTTACAAACGCTTTTTATTTCAGATAAATGCTGATCTTTAGCTACGCCACTGAATATAATTTAAAAAAACATGGCAACAAATGCTTTTTTAAAGTCAGTTTAAGAAGTTTAATAAGCTGAAACGACTTTCTCAGTCAATTTGATTCAACTTGACTCATGTTTAACCTTTGCTTCTTGTCATTGTAGGCTTAGGCTACTTTTTTCAATGCATTTTAATGGATATACAAATTAATAAAATGAATTGTATTTATTTTTTATTACATATTGCTCATTCATTTATTTTTATTTTGATCAATTTAAAGCATCCTTGCTAAATAAAAGTAATAATTTATATAACCCCCTCCCCCCAAAAAAAAACATTATACTGACTCCAAGCTTTTGAATGGTATAGTGTAATGTTACAAACGCTTTTTATTTCAGATAAATGCTGATCTTTGAATCTTTTCATTCATCAAAGAATCCTGAGAAAATGTACTCAACTGTTTTAAATATTGATAATAATAATAATAATAATAACAATAATGATAATAATAATAATAAATGTTTCTTGAGCAGCAAATCAGCATTTTAGAATGATTTTTGAAGGATCACGTGTCACTGAAGACTGGAGTAATGGCTGCTGAAAATTCAGCTTTAATCACAGGAATAAATCACATTTTACAATATATTCGAATAGAAATCAGTTATTTTAAATAGTAAAAATATTTCACTATATTACTGCTTTTGCTGTCTTTTAGATCAAATAAATGCAGGAAATGCACATTTAGACACTGACGATCCTGATGATGATGAAGTGATGACAGGAATAGGCAGATGAGCTGGAAACAGGGAATAAATCTAATTAACTGTAAGCAAGAGAGATGTTTTATTTGTCACTCACAGATGTCAGTGGCAATCTTGATCTAAACCCTTCTCTTAATATTTACAAAGGATTCATGTATAAAATGGAATTAAAGTATCAGTATTAAGTGATTACATCGAAATGTATTGCAAAAAATATATCAAATGGAATTTCCATCACAAGATTAAACACAATATCCTTTTAGATGTGATGGAAATTGTCATGAATTTCAGAGAAGAGACAAGAAATACAGAATGACAGAATTCTCTTGTGATGAAGTACATAATGTTAGAATTTAGAAATAGTTTTTTTTTTTTGTACAAGTATTTGTACAAAGACAATACTTACTATTACATTGAATGATGTTAGTAGAGAAATGGAACTATTTTAACTCACCATAGACAGTGATATTGAATGTGTTGAGTGGTGTCTCTGTTCTGGTGCTGGTGACTTGATAAAGTCCAGAGTCTGTGGTTCTGGTGTTTGTGATGCTCAGAGATCCAGTCTGATCCAGCTGCAGTCTGTCTATGAATCTCTCATCAAGAAACTGTCTCTTATTGTCCTTTCTGTTGATTTTAGCTATGATACTGCTGTGTCCAAATCTCCACAATATCAGTTCATCTCCCATTATATCAGCATCACTGATGTTCAGAGTGACAGAATCTCCCTCCATCACAGACACTGACTTCACTTCATCAACACCAAACACACCTGAAGAACATGCAGAGATATTTGCTTAATAAAAGACTTTCTGATAGTATTAGTCATTTTTAAACTATTTAAAATTGTAATGGCAAAACAATTATTCAATCTGCACTAATTTTAATGTAAATTCATTGAAATGGACAGCAGCATGGAAACAAGAAGTATTTAGTATATTAGTCTGATACAATATTAGAAATAAATAAAGGCAAAACGAATGATGGAAATAAGAATTATGTTTGAGGACAAACGATAATATAAAGAGAACTGAAGCTTTAAAAACACTCACCTGTCAGGCTCCATGAGCACAAACAGATGAAAATAAGCATTTTCTTCAGCAGTTCATAAATTTTCTGTGATAATAATTGGGTCCTGAAAACGTTGAATGTGCTATTGGTTTGTAGTGAAGTGGTTTAGTGAAGCTCTGCAGTGAATAAACTCCTCCAGTAGCTCCTCCCTTCACGGACTGTACTGTATATGACTTCTCAGAATGACAACGTTTGATCTACTGAAAGAACAGAGAATGTGGACCTAAAATAAAAAGGTATTAAATAATAATAACAGCAATTGTATTTTATAAAATAATAATAATATTATAATACTAATATTAATGTCTTATTA